TGTTGTTTATACAATCTTTGTTTTATTTTATTTATTTTATTTGAATTCAGTTAGCCAACATACAGTACATCATTAGTTTCAGAGGTAGAGGTCAGTGATTCATCAGCTGCATAGAACACCCAGTGCTCATCACATGTGCCCTCCTTAATGCCCATCCCCCAGTTACCCCATCCCCCACCCCCTCCTCTCCGGTGACCCTCAGTTTGGTTCCTAGAGTTAAGAGTCTCTCATGGTTTGTCTCCCTCTCTGATTTCTTCCCATCCAGTTTTCCTTCCCTTCCCCTGTGATCCTCTGTGCTGTTGCTTATGTTCCACGTATGAGTGAAACCACATAATTGTCTTTCTCTGCTTGACTTATTACTCTCCAGGGTTCTCAGGAACAAAAATACTCTCTCTCCTGAGAGACTTTCCTTGACATCACAAAGCACATCAGTCATCTTGCAAATCCCCTCCCAAACCACACAGTCTGCTAGTATGTGCACGTTTCCAGATCTTGAAAATGAGAAAAGCATAATCTGCAGAGCACCAATCCAGCAATCCAGCATATTTATTTCCTTTATTTTGTTTGGATATATAGATTTTTATTTTTTTAAAGAAGAACTGACGAGGCATTTGGTTAAATTAAGGGCAAGATAGATACTGAAACTTCTAGCAGGAATGTCGGGTCACAGCCACCGGCTGAGGGAGGCGGCCTCGCGTGGCCCGAGAGCCCCAGCCCAGGAGCACAGGGGCCTGGGTCTGCTTCCCAGAGGCCAATCAGCAGAGACCTATGTGAAAATGCTTGGAAAAATAAAATAAAACAGAAACATCTCTACAAACCTGAAAAAAGTCCCCATCAGCCTTGAAGGTGTCCAGGTTTTGTAGTAAGTGCAGATCTAATGATAGAATATTCACTAAAACCAACCCCAAATCAGTTTTTTAATGAAAATAATATTTTAGTTATTTTAGAACTTAAATGAATTGTGTCCTTTATTTTGGGAAGCCGCCCCGGAGAGGAGGAAGGGGGCGCACCCTCTTCGTGACACTTGTGTTCTTTCCCGCCGTACAAGCTAGCCTGCTGACCTCTTCCTGCCGGCCCCCGGAAAGCTCTGGTGTCTTCGCTTGTTAACACGGGCTCAGTCTGCTTGTTTAGGCTTCGGAGCCCTTCCGTGTTTTTGCAAGGCGGCAGCGCCACAGAGCCGGGGGCCCCACGGCCAGCCCCACTGCCCAGGACCCTCACCGCCAGATTGCTCCCAGTTTGCCAGCTCGGAAGTGGGAAGGGGGGTGACTACAAGGGTCTCCGGAATGCCCATTCACCCCAGTTAAGGCACTGCTCTGTTCTGCACGGCAGTTCTCCGGGCTCCGAGCTCCCCACACACTCACACTCCTGGGGTTGGGGGTGTGCTGGGCTCCTCCTCCTCCTGAAGCCCAGGGCCGTCCTCCGGGAGCGGCTGTGGGTGAACATGGTGGGGAGCACACGAGCTAGGAGGGTCTAGGAAGTTCCAGGAGGCCAGACCTCTTGTGTGGCCCTCGCTGGTGCCGAAAGCCGCTGCTTGTCTGTGTTCTTCAGTCCTGTCCGGTCCTGACCAAGGGTGGAATCCTAGGCTGACGCTTCTGTAACTTTCTCCTGCAGCAGATGCTACCCAACATCTGGTGTTCACCTGCGGCCTCAGGGCGCATCGAGGCCTCGGGGACTATTCCAGGCCTCAGTTTCCCTGCATCTCCCCATCTGACCACCCTTCCATTTTCACAGGCGAATGCTGCCTGTGTCTGCCGAGCACCCCTTCTTCCGAGAATTGTACCTCCACGCTTTCCTCAAGGGAAGTCTTGCTCCTGCTCTCCAAGGGCTCTGGGGGGTCCCCAGGGGTGCCCCCGACCCCCCATTCCCTGGGATAAGGGGGACCCATGTGACCTAGGCTTGCCCTGTCACCCCCCCACTGGACGATGTGGGTCAGGGTCTTTTTCACAGAAGGAAAGAGAGAGAAGGTATTTCTTTGCGCTCTGACCCTAAAACAAGATGTCAGACTGAACCTAAAAGAGACAAAAAGGAAAGCAGAATGTAGCCGTAGGAGGACTGAGCCAACTCCGAGGTGAGCCGAGCCAGGGGAGGGCAGAGTCCAGCAGGGAGCGCACGGGCCCCGTCCCTTCCTGCCCGAGCCAGCGACCCTCCTTTCTCCCTCAGCTGGCCCGTCTGCTGCCTCGTCCCCCTGCCTCGTCCCCTGGGAAGCTAACCCTCGGGGAGATGGTAACGGACAGTGATTTCAGACGGTGGCCTGCTTGGGGACATCAGTATCTCAGGATGCTGAGGATGCGGGGATGTGGCTTACCTCCCACCGTCCCTTCCTGACAGGGTCCACCTGCAGAGGAGCGGAGACGCCCTGGACGAGCCTCCTCCACGGGGAGCTGTGCTATCACTGCACATTTGCAGGCGGACTCAGGGAGTCTGCTCAGCAGACGGGAAGAGTCTCGAAGGTCAGGTTTTGGAGAGACCACGCGGGGGGCTGCCCTCCTTCTGCCCATGCCCACCGGAGCCCCTGCATGCCCCCGAGGTGGCGGCGGCGGCACGGCTCTGAGCCCTGCCGGTGGGTCTGTCTCATGCTGGCCGGCCGCTGTGCACCTGCCACCTGTCTTCCGGGCTGTCCCACCACTTCCTGCTCAGGCTCCGCCCACTCGGGGGCGGGCTTGGCGGGTGGGGGCCACACTCCCCCCGCTGCTTTCCAGCCCGTGACACCTCAGTGTCAGTGAGCACACTTCTAGTTGCCCCATTCCTTCCAGAAGGTTCTCAGCGTGACTTCCTGTGTCCCCTGCTGTTGGTTTCTTCCAACCTCGAGTCCAGGGGAGATAGAATGCAGTTTGGAAATGAAGTAAGAACCTTCCCCTTCAACTGCAAGGCGCTTCCAGCTCCCTGGGAGATTTCCCAGAGTCAGTGATCCCATTCACGTCCCAGGCTCCTTTACTTACATTCTCCTTGAGCTGCTCCTCTCCTAGTCCTCGGCTTGGAGAGGAGTCTTGGTTCTTTGTGTCCACTCGCATTGTCAGCTACTTTAGCGCCCAGTTTGGAGTATGAGGCAAACCCCACCCCCAAATCCCCAAAGCCAGGAAACCCAACACTCTATTTTTTCTTGGGGTCCCTAGTGGTGCTGCCTTCTTTCTCCCCTCTGTGACTCCTCACGCTTGTCTATTTGTACGCGCCAACGCGTTCAGTTGTACTGAGTGAAGGTATGAGGAAATGTACGCCTATTCCATTTTCCCAGAAGTGAAAGTCCAAGGATTTTTTTGAAGAACTACCACATCTCCCGGAGAATTCTCTGGACTCTGTAGTTTTGACCTTCCTACCTCAGCAAGACTGCATTCATGTTTTCCCTCCATGTCCCTTACACAACTGTGCACCTGCGTGCAAATTCTACGCACAGTTTCCTGGTGCGTTTGAGGTTTATCTTACTCCACTATGGTTTTTGTTTAATTGGCCCACATTTTGCCATTTGAGAGATATACTGCCCAGACTTTGCATGTTTTTCCTGACAGACGGCCCAAGGCTATTGCCATAAAACTTCAAATGCTCCAATAAAATCATCTATCCTTAATAGCACACGCTTCACTCCTCTCTGCAACGTTCATCCTCCCAGCTGAGTCATTAAAACCTGGCTCATGATGAAGGAGCGAGTATTTGAAGACACGGAGAGAATGAGAGTTAATCTCTGGTTTTCCAGCAATGCCAGCCTCATGATTTGGTCTTAGAGCGCACCTCAACGTTTGTGGAAAAGAACCTTTCCTTCATTTGCCAAATACTATAAAGTGGAAAACTGATATAAAAGATCAGAACAATCTTGATGCACTTACATTCCCACTCAACTCCTTTAAATCTTTCCTGGAACAAGACTGGGAGCAAATAAAGGGACTTATGCATGAAACCAAGCAATGAACAAAATAGGCATTACAGCCTCGTGTTGAGAGTGCTGGATTTTTTCTCTCCCCCTTTCTTTCTGAACCATTCAGATCAAGCACTAGAATTTCGTTAGCCATTGAGGGGCACCTGCAGGTGCAATCGCAGTACGTAATCATATGCCAGTACTGAGAGCAATCACTTTCTGTGTTCTCTTTCTATGGCCGCATCACCCGCTGTGCTTCCTGCGTCCCCAGTCTATGTTTCATCCTGCCTGTCTTAACTTGGGCTTTAACTTTTTCATTGTGGGAAAAGAAGCATAACATGAAATTTCCCATTAGTGACATTTGGCACATTCATTCATGGTGATGTGCAACCATCACCAGAACATTCTTGTCTTCCAAAAGGAAACCCCCTACCCACTCGCAGTTGCTCTCCAGCCCCCCACCCTGGACCCTGCAAATACCAATCTGCGTTCTGTGTCTATGGATTTGCTGACTCCAGACGTCGGCATGGAATCCTGCAACATGTGGCCTCTTGTGTCTGGCTTTTTTTCACTCAGCATAATGTTTTCAAGTAAATGCTGGAGACTTTGTGTCTTAGGACTCATCAATGCTTTCTTATGAGGCAGGAATGGTAACACAGCTGCATCTGGAAGGTTCTGAGGTCACATGCTGGGATGGTAACCTATCAGTGAGGGGACCAACCCAGAGGGGGCCACCTTTTGAATATGGTTGATGGATGTCCCCAGTGGGAAGCTATGTGGCACCGTGTCTGAGTTAGGGCCCAGGACCTAGGACTGATAAAGTCATTTGGGTATTTTGGGGGGAGGTTTTCAGCAATTGGCTTCACCCTGGATGACTGTTCAATCATTAAGTTGACAAAAATAATTTTGAAAAAAAAATGGTGTGTTAAAAAACAAAAAAGTTAACACTTGGTCTTTTTTTGTGTTGTTCTCACATAAGAGTCCTTAAAAATGTTCTAGTAATCTTTTCTTTTCATGTTTAAATAAGTGCACTGTATAATTGTAATAAAGCATTTCCAAGTGCAGGCAAGAGGCTGGGTGGCATTCTCCCAAGAAATCAGAGCAAATAAACCACTCATATCATATAATTTAATCACCATGTGAATGTGTCCAAATTTGCAGAGTAGTTATATTTACATACGCACCCACATCAGGGGTCCCAATGACGTGGTCGATGTGCTGAATGCAGAGGTCAAGGGCTGAGCTGTTGCTGTCCCTGGCGACGGAATCCCTGGTTTCCCCAAAACTCTTTTACCTTCTTTTTGCTTCCTTTTCTGCCATGTGGGGATGTTGCTTATTCATTAGCTTCTGGAGCTCTTGGATTATTCTTCGGACATTTAATCCATTCCTAGAAGCTCCAAAAGTAGCTTCATTGAAAGGAAAAATGAGCACAAAGTTCCCTGCTTGGAGATCCGGCACCTTGCTGTTGTCCGAGGGGAGGCACGGGGAGATGCTGGTCTTGCCCACGCATGATTGAATGAGTGACATGAATGGAATGAGCGTCTTATGGGTCGAGTGTCTACCCTTTAGCTTTGGCTTGGTTTTGGGGGGTTCTTTTGTTGACAGAAGTAGGTCCTTCTTCCTGCTCGTCATTTCCCTCGGCTGGGAGGCATGTTTATTTTCAGGACATATTTTTATGGCTTTCTTCACAGCAGATTCATCCTTAAATGTCCTACCTGTGAGCTGTAAGAGGGACTCACAGGACAGAGCGCTACAAGCCTTGTTGAGTCTACCCATGTCCAGCTTGGCGAGGGAGACGCTGCGGCTCCCCTTGGCACTGTCACGACATTCCATCCTCTCGTTTCTTAGACCCTGTGAGTAAATCAGCTCAATCGTGTCATGGATAAGCTTCCTCTTCACTGATACGTCCGCCGAACAATCTACGGACAGGGCGGGGCTGAAGTTGACCTCCAGAAGCCACGGTTTCAAGTTGTCATCAATCAAAATGTCAAACCCAAAGAGCTCAAAGCAGTTGGCTGCGAAGGGGACCGAGGGAGCGATGGCGAGCACCGTGAGAATAACCATGTGGTTGATTTTCTGCCACAAAAGCAGGTCATCCATATCCCAACTGCGAAGATAGGAGAAGAATCTGCTGAGGGTCCACTTGCAGCCGTGACCAATCACTTCTTTGATTTTCTCATATGAGACCCCAGATTTATTGATGCTGCTGTTGGTCAAATGGGCATAATTGTTCTGCAGATTACTGAGGTCAAACTTCTCTGTGGCAAACCGCACTAGCCCTTCTTGGTAAATATAAATGGTCAAAGGCTTAAAGCCGGTGACACAAACGTAGATGCGGAGGTCACATTTATATCTGCCCACAAGGAGAGGGTTGCAGATATATTTCTGTACTACATATGTATCATCAAAGATTAAGTCTTTAATGTCACTGAAAATGATGATGCCCCTCCCGCGAGAGAGTTCGGCAGGCTTACAAATCCAGTAGCTGTGCTTGGCGCCCAGCACGTGCTTCTCCCTAAAATATTCGGCCACGAACTTGTTGTAGTCCTTGGGCATGATGAACGTCAGGGGGATGAACTCATACAGGGGCGTGCCATACGTCTTCTTCATCTGCTTCAGGTGTTTGGCCAGATGGTCCTTCCTGGTGAGCTCGGTGGTGCCCGGGTGGTGGTTGAGGTGTTGCCACGGCTTGATGTTGACGTGCTCGGTCATCCGGAAGGAGGAGGTCCTCCAATACAGGTTCCAGTCTTCCACGTTCTGCTCTCCTTCATCGAACTTGTCCCACCCACGCTCCAGCAGGACACTCTGCACCATTTCGGGTGTGCTGTCATCTACGCGAAACACCAGCGGCTTCAGGATGGGCCCCGGAGGTTTGTCCTCTGCCATGAAATACGGTTTTCTTTTCTAAAAATTGATGATCAGAAACGCATTAGCAGGTGGGCAGGGGGGATCGCCATCAAGAGGAGCTTACCCATAAAAGATTCCACATCCTATGGCCAGCCGTTTGGTCTGTGCCTTCCCGCACATCAGACAGTCTCACCAGATACCCACCTCTCTGCTCCCCCTGCAAAAATAGACCCGGGCCTCCCTGTGCAGTCTGTCTCTCCAGACATTACCTGCCTATTTCTCCCTTTTAGAGACATGTTCAAAGTGTTGGCAGTTCACCACCAATACTCTTGAGGGCTACTCTGCCCTAGGGCTGGAGGTGCAGTGAATCCTGTTGGCCTAAACCAGGAACATTCTTTAGAAAAAGCAAATGTCAAGTTGTCTACAGTTAGATGAATTTGGACATGCAAAAGCGTGAAGCGCTGGTGTTAATATGATTAGCAGGGGTCTTACTGGCCTGAGAAGCTTAAGGAGTTTGGATCAGATACCTGCGATGGCCACCAGTAACTCCCCCATATCCCCAGTGGTCAGAGGCTGGGTTCCCTCCAACACATGGTAACTTGCAAGAAAAATAGTTAAGAAAAATCTTAGTTTCTAGAACTTTCACATTCTGTGAAAACAAAGATGACGTGAAGATCGTGCCTTGCAGTTCGCAAAGATACCCAGAAAGTGCGTGTTTGGCATCTTTCTGAAATTCCAAAGAAAGAAAATAAGATAGCTTTTGAGAAAATCAGAACCGATAGTGAGGCATGATGTTTCCTTATGACCTAGGGGGAAAGGGTAATAAAGTCAAAGCCTCGTGGGGGAGATGTTGATATTCCAAAGTCCTAAAACAACATGCTAATCAAAAATTCCAAGTTCAGGCAATTTTGACTTGTTTCTTTGACAATGTCAGTATGTTGGTGCACAGTTTATCATTTAAGGAGGCATACAGAGCTTATTTCGGTGGAAATGCTGCGGTTTGGCAGACTCTGACTGATGCCATGGGAGGAAACTTCGATACTGCGTTTTCAGTGAAGTCGGTCTGGCCAGAGCGAAAGTGGTCAGGAAGGACAGAGGGAGGGACGGAGGTCCAGCTTGCTCACCCACCTTCTTCTCCAGGTTTGAAATTGGGCAGAGTCAAGGAGTGAAGGAGACACCTTGTTCCCAGCGACCTTGTTTCCAGCTGAAGCCAACCGCAGAGTATGGCTGGCCTCTGATCCTGAGGCTGCAAACAGGCTGGGCAGTGGCTCGAGAACCGTGTCCAAAAGAGCTGTGAACAAGCAGCGTCAACAGATGAATGAGCACCTTCTCGGTGCTGTTACTGCTATGACCAGGAGGAGCACGCAGAATTTACAGATCTGGCACGGTGATTAAGAAATTCAATCTTTGCAATTTACAGCAATGTTTTCAAACTATGTTCAACGACATTAACAGGTATTATAGCAGAGAGAGTGTGTGTGTGGGCACTCATGTGTGCGGGGGGGAGGGGAAGAAGATTCAGAGTCAAAATAATCATGGAAGCTGGATGAAACACGGTTGAAAGTGTTTTTTCTCTTTCTAGCTTCAAGAAATATGCCATCTTTCCCAAGCTTATTTGATCATGAAACCCTCTTAAAATTTCTGTTCTATCAGCTACCATTTCACAAAAGCTGTGTGGGAAATATTGAGTAGGACAAACCAAATTGAATGGAACCACCCACCCTCCCAGCCTTGGAAACAAACCTATCAAGAGGAGACAGTGTGGTGTTCTGGCCAGAGCCTTGTTTCGTGGGGGGTCAGCACTCAGTGGCTATAGGAGCCTGGCCTTCTCCCAGCTCTGCAGGTCAGTGGACAAGGACAGACCAGGAAATTCGGCTCTTGAGGATGGTCTGCAAACCTGGGTTTCCTCTCACCACGGAACCAAGAAAGCCAGTCAGTTGTCCTCTTGAGAGGTGAAGAACACGGTCTAATGAGGCTTTGGGTATTTACTAGGGCCGCTTACGCAGCCATTGGCCCTGGATCCTCTTTCAGCTGAGTATCTGTCTTCCTGTTAAAATTTCGTTGAGAAACCAAATGCATCATTACAAATTTTCTCTGCTCAGTAAGAGTTCATCTGGAGAGCTACTTACATTTCTTTCATCCTGCCTCTTTCAGACTTACAGACGCTCACAGCAGCCGATAGTTCTGTCTGACTGAGGAAAGCATGTGGTGGGGGGAGTAGGTGTAGGGATGACAAACAGGTCGGGGACCAATTCGCAAGCCCTCCCTGGGAGGAGAATGTCAGGACTGAGCCTCCGGCAGGAAGAGGCCACCATGGGGGAGAGGACACGAGTGGTGGTGACCGAGTGGGGAGGAGCCAGCCGAGGACCCTTCCTGTGGCAAGGCACGCCATCGGGGCCCACACACGGCATTACGTGGCACACAGCCCAGTCACGCGGCTTTCACCGCCGGTGGACATGAAGGAGGAAGTGCTCACGTTAAGGGGAGTGAAGACGTTCTCGTATCTCCACGTGTGGCAGGGCCGCTTGCCTGTGGGGCAAAGGCCCTGTGCTGGAGGAAACTGGACAAAGCCTCTTCGGCGTGCTCGCAGGTGCTGGCGCCACGCGGCCTGGGCCCCTTTCTGGAGCGGGCAGCCAAGCCGGCAGTCACCCTTGTCTCATCGCGGAACAGACTGTCTTCCTCGTGGGTAAGAGTGAAGTTGTCCATGGAGATTTTCACAATCACCCATTTTCTTCCTTGTTCTAAGCTGAGGGAAAAGAAATCCTCTAGGAAGGAGGAAGGTGACAAGGTGACACCACTCATGGCCACGGCAGGACCAGCCACGGGTAGGCTCTAGCTCCGGGTGTGGCCACGTAGTCCGTGGACATAGAAGGAGCACCTGTGAAATGCACGTGTCTTTCCCCTGTGTTATGGTGTCCAAAGGCTGGCCTCCTGCTGCTGAAGGAGGAGGTGAGGGAGGAGCGGGGGGGGGGGAGCAGAGAGGGGAGGTGAAGGGGGAAGTGAGGGAGGAGGGGAGGGAGAGGGGAGGGAAGAGGGGAGGGAGGAAGAGGGGGAGGAGCAGAGCGGGGAGGTGAAGGGAGAGATGAGGGAGGAACAGAGGGGGGAGCAGAGGGGGGAGCAGATGGGGAGGTGAAGGGGGAAGTGAGGGAGGAGGAGGGGGAGGAGGGGAGGGAGGAGGAGGGGGAGGAGCATCAAAGCCCAGCGAGGGTTAGACGTGCCCCCCGCACGGGGTGACCAGCACCAAGGTTGTCCATGTCAGCGGGGTGGTGGCTGCTTGTGTCCCTGTCCTTCATATGTCTTGTATGATTAAGTGCCACGTGACCTTTTTAGGAGAAGGAGCAAGTGGCCCCAGAGGGTCCGGGCCTGGGTGGTTCTGGACGGAAGCCGGGGGGCCCTGCAGAGGAGCAAGAAACACCCATGAGCACCACTGGGGTGCACGACCTTCGGAGAGCCAAGAGTGGCGGGGCCCCCGGCGGTGGGGCCCGGTCGCGGGCGGGGTCAGGTTGTGTGGGCTGCGGCGAAGCAGCATCAGGTGCCTCTACAGCCGTGAGGGAAGGAGGCTTTGTGTCCAAGTACTGTCCGAGTCTGACCCTTTCTGTGCTGGCCACGAGAAGAACGCTTGTTTACCCCGAGGAGCCAGCCTGCTGGACTCAGAGGCCGGCAGGATGCGGCTGGGACAGAGTCCGCGCCCCCGCGCTCCGGGCGCACCTGCGGCAGGCCTGCTGGGGCTGCCGGCGGCCCGGCCGGTCCAGAGAGCGTGGGGTCTGCGTGTCTGCGCTCCGAAGGGGAGGTCGGGGTGCGGGTCGCCAGGGGGAGTCTCCCCTCTCCAGGGGCTGCAGGCCAGCGTTGGTGCCCCTTAAAATGAGCACTTCCTCCTTTACACCCACTGACGTGGCCATCCGTCCGCCTCACCCACCGAAACAGGAGTTAAACCTCAGGGCTGCTTTTTAATCCCTGTTCCCGCATTGGGTGCCCTGTTGGAATAAATGAATGAACCAGCAGACCAGTGTGGGGTTGGGGCAGGGGAGAACATGGGGGTTACATTTTTTCCTGTACATTAGAGGAATACAAAATGTCATACATTTTTCCTTCATTTCAGCCGCAGGTAAGTAACACTGAGTACAGATAGACATAGGATTCCTACTCCATTGCTCATTTCTGCCCAAGATTTCCTCTCCTTTTTTATCACATTATAACATCTCATTTATCTAGGTCAGAAGCCAAGAGGTTTATGGCTAATTTAAGCTTCTCAGTCTTGAACCCAAAATTCAGTGGAAAACTCTATTCCCAATTAAAATAGACATCACCAAACCTGACATTGTACCGAATAAGCACTAGACCTTTCCACCTTTTCTCCAAGTGCTTAAATCCGTAACTGTATGTTTATTTGGGTGTTTGGACTTGTAAGACCATGACACGTAAGCTGTACTGGAGGAAAATTGAAATGACCGCTATTGCACGGAAATTAATTAAAGATAAAATAACTTCTATAATTAAGGCAGTGCTGGGTATTTTATTTGCACAGAGCCCAGGCTATTTTGCAGAGGCATCAATTTATATTAATTGATGTCTATAATAAACAATTAAAATGTTAACTTGCGCTGTACTAAGATTTAAAAGGCAAAGTAATGTGTTACGCCATGTATCATATGCAAACACACATGCGTGACATGAAAATAGAATATGACATGTTAATTATTTTAAAATATGTGCCACTCATCCAGGACGGAAGCGGAGGTCCTGGTCAACCTAACGGCTGTGGTTCTAAAGCAGAACGTAGCTGGAGCTCCCGTTGGAAGAGCTCTCGGGGACCACGGACTTTATCCTGAAAAGAGGCCGTTAAACATTCTCTTCCAGCTTGAAAACACTTTATTTGGAGTACAGTTCTCAGCCTCCCTGGGCAGTCACGCGGATGTATCACGATTGGCCCAGAAATGTGTCCAAGTAATAGTAATTACTAATAATATGTACTCTCCACCAGTGCACTGCAAAGAAATTATTATCTCTACACAGCCATGTAGACAGAGTCGTGATCTCCCACCTGCATTTCCACGTGC